TTAAATAGTGCTGCAATAAAGGGTGCATATATCTTTTCAAGCTGGTGTTTTCATTTTCTTTTGGATTTACCCAGAAGTGGAATTGCTGGATTGTATGGCAGTTATAGTTTTGAGGAACCCCTGTACTGTTTTCCATAATGGCTGCACCAATTTATATTCCCACCAGCAGTGTACAAGGTTTATTTTTTTTCCACATCCTCACCAATACTTGTTATTTTTTTGTCTTTTTGATAATAGCCGATATGACCAGTGTGAAGTGATTTGTCATGGTTTTTATTGGCATTTCCTTGTTGATTAGTGATGTTGAACATATTTTCATGTGTCTGTTTCATGTTCTCTATGTTTTCTTTGGAAAAATATTCAAGTCCTTTGACCATTTTTTAATCAAGTTGTTTGGTTTTTTTAATACTAAGTTTAAATTCTTTATATGTTTTGAATTTTAATTCTTTATTGGATGTGTTATTTACAAATGTCTTCTCCCATTCAGTAGGTTGTCTTTTCATTTTGTTGATATTTTCCTTTGCTTTGCCGAAGCTTTTTAGTTTGATGTAATCCATTTGTTTATTTTAGCTGTTACTGTTCTTGCCTGAGGAGACTAGTCCAAAAAAATATTGCTAAGACTGATGTCAAAGAGCTTATTACCTGTGCTTTCTTCTAGGAGTTTAATATTTCAGGTCTTACATTCAAGTCTTTAATCCATTTTGAATTTATTTTTGTATGTGGTAGAAGATAGATAGTGGTCCAGTTCCATTCTTATGCATGTTACTGTCCTGTTTTCCCAGCACCATTTATTGAAGAGACTGTCTTTTCCGCATTGTATATTCTTGCCTCCTTTGTTGTAGATGAATTGACTGTATAAATGGGTTTATATCTGGCTATTTGATTCCACTGATTTTTGGGTTTTGCCAGTACAATACTATTTTGAATATTATAGCTTTGTAGTGTAGTTTGAAATCAGGCACTTGAAAGCTCCAGCTTTGTTGTTCTTTCTCAAGATTGCTTTGGCTGTTTGGGTTCTTTTGGGGTTCCATACAAATTTTAGGATTCTTTGTTCTAGTTCTATGAAAAATGGCATTGTTATTTTGATGGGGATTGCACTGAATTTGTAGATTGCTTTGGGTTGTATATCCATTTTAACAATATTAATTCTTCCAATCCATGAGCATTGGTGTATCTATTTATTTGTATCATCTTCAGTTTCTTTCATCAATGTCTTACAGTTTTTAGAGTCTCTGTCCACTTTCTTGAGGTAATTTCATTGCTTTTTAGTGAAAGGTGTATACGGTTATTCAGTCTTGGTAATCGCTAGCATTCCTATGAAAGGTTTGGTAGAGGAAATTGAAATACATCAGTATGGTGTGTATTATGTATGAATTTCAACCATCTCTTTTATCCTTGTCTCCCATTAATAAGGATTGAATTTGAGAGTAGATGAGAACAGATTCTTAATTTTCTGGATTCCTTAGACTCTTATAGCAAAATTCTTTGCCCTTATAAAAATTTGATCTTGAGGGAGTGAAAAAATAATCTTTGGAAGAATAATAATATTTCACTATACTTTTTTGATAATTGTCATAGTGTTTTAATGAGTAATGTTTTTTATGAGATAGTATTCATAAAGTTCATAAAGAGCATAAAATTATACATTGAAATTTTTGTCATAATTTTTTATTTCTGGTAGCAAAACAATGTAGTATAAATAAACAGTACAATCTTTGTTTTTCAGTAGTGAAAAAGTTCACACTGTTTCTCTAACAATACTTAAATTTCTGTAGCTTAAATATGGTCACAGAATGTAATATTGAGCAAATTAAGGAGATATGGAAAAAATTTTTGCTTATTTTGTAGAATATCTTAGGTATTCTCAGAACTCATGTTGAGTCTCTGCCACTTTAGCCAAGTGAAGGACAGCACGTACCACTTACTTAGCATACCTTTAAAATTTTATATCAAAATAACTCACCATAGACAAATTTTAGACAATGGTGTTTAGGATACGACACTAAGGATGTAATTTTGTTTTCAAATGTGTATTAATAGAAATATAAATGTAAAAATACTTATGTCATAGCAGGCTAGTAGTTATTCTCTGGCACATTGCTTTAGGTGATGATGAGGAAAAGGAAACATTAATTCATGGGAACATCTCATGTGTAATAATATAGAACATTGGAAGCTGAAATGACCATAGTCAGAGAGTATAGAATCTAAATAAAACATTTCATCATGACTCACCTAACAAATGACCTAAATAGAATAGTTACTTTTTATACTTTACTTTTTAAAAAGATAATGCCAAATACTTGGAAAACATCTGTATAGCATGTCTTTATTAATATATCAGGGTGTATTCTAGATTCTTGATCTATTGAGCTTAATTTCTTTTCCTTTCTATAAGTATATTTTTAAATAATTTTAATTAAAGTTTAGAATAATATTCATGAAGATAGAGTTCAGTGATCTTCAGAAATCTAAACTTTTAGCCATAAGCATTGGAACTTAAAAGGTTTCAGTTAATCTTTAATATTACATTGAATTAAAGGTGACAGGTGGGTTTTTCTCTGGTGATGATTTCATTAACTGTGTTTATTATTAACTGATTTATTGTTGAGTAATCCAATATGAAAAATGAATATTTGAACTAAAATATATTCTTTTATAAAAGAATACAGATCTCTAAGGCATGGTGGTTATAGGATTTTCTTAAAACGGAACCCACTAAATAGAGAAATGCAGACATTTTTCCTTCATTGAAACAAAGTTCTGAATTTTAGGTTTGAAGAGCTATTTGGCTTTATGTTATGTATTTTATATAATATATCAGATACACATTTCTTTAACCTATTATATTTAACAGATTCCTTGTTTTTAAACTTACCCTTTTATTCCTCTGTGCAAGTTCTTAATGTAAACGTGCCCAGAATAAAATATTTATTTGAAGATATTTATTTCAATAAATATGTATCCTTTGAAGGCTGAAAGTTAAACATTAACTCTTAACTTAGTTGAGCTTAGATCTTTAGGTTGCTCTGTCTTCCACCAGAACTGCTACTTGAAACTTAGACCTCTATTCTAAGAAATCCTTGAAGTACATTTGATGCAAGATATGTGAAGTTATCTGATCGTGCTTTGTAATGCCTTGTTGAGAAGACAGGACATTTGGAAAGTTTTTAAAAGTTAAAATAACATGCACTATAAATGCTTTGAAGTGTTTTCTTTTAAACTAATAGATTATAAACCTCTATTTAGAAGTTGTATTTCTTGACTTTTTTTTTAACTTGCACTAAAATTATACCACTTTACCCACCACTACTTTGGATTTTAATTGCCACACAACAAATCTATTAAAACTATCCCTTACTGTTACAGTTTTGTCTTATAATTGTTGAAATTGTACAAATTCCATAAAACATGCTTAAATTCTCTTCATGTAAGACAGCAGTTTAAAGAAGAAATATTTGTCAAATAATACTTTAAAATAGCAAAAATAGTCCTATCAAATAGTTTCTTTGATCTTGAAAGTGAATGGATTGCAGAGATTGGGGTACATATTACAAAGAAGCTTTTGGGCAAAATGTTGAAGAGATGTATTTTAAATAACAGCTCTTTCTTTATATAGCTATAAACACATTATATATAAATGTTGGTGGTACCAGAGCATTGAAAATAAAACTTGTTTGTGATAAACTCCATCCTTGGTTCTCTATCCTAAAATGTAACTGAATGATAATAAAGTGCTATTCATCTGCAGGTGCATTGCTTCTACTTAGTTAAAAGATGGTTGAAAGAACAGGAATTAGTAGCATGTTGTATTAGCCTTTTGTAGTGTATTTTGTCCGAAGCATCTTAATTTCCCTGTTTTGAATGCTAAGTAGCAAGGGTCTTGGTTTAGAACTAATACCCATCATGCATGTAAACGGTATGAAAGAGCTGCTTAGTAAGTTAACACAAAGTGTTCTTGTGTCAGTCCTTGTGGAAATAGATACAATACAAACATTACAGCTGAACTCACGGCAAACTCCGTTTAGTAAAAACCTGGCTTTATTGTTCAGGAAAAAGTTTGAATAGAATGCAAGCTCATTTTGTTGAATGTAATGTCAGGCTTTTAGGGACTGTATTGAGGGATAAGGTTTTGTTAAGTTGAGACCAATTCATTAAGTTTTATTGCCTGGTGAGAAGCGGTAATACTTCATTGTAAGACTTCATCAAATATTCATGGTTAAAGAGAAGTAGTAAATGTATTCAATCAAGTGGTCTTTTGGGGTTTTGAAAAGGATTATGAAGTCTGCTCAGCTGATAGTTTTAACATTCATTGAGGTTGTTTGACAAGGGTAATTTTAATCTCTGAGTTTAATTTTGTCCAGGCTTGTCTCCTTTTACTGTCACAAATCCAGGTCTATAAAAATTGTGTCACATTATAGGATGAGTGGATAATACATCCATTCATATAACATGTATTTCCCAAGTAGTCATATTTTTTAAATTATCATCTTAGTTTCAAGTTCAGTGTATGAGGGAGTTATGGCCTGTCTACTTTTTCATTGTAAGGGTAGCATTCATTTGGTCAGACTAGCCTCACCTCACTACTACTGGTAATCTTTTCATGTCTTGGATAATAAGGTCTCCTTGGCACACATAAAATAAGAAACAGCCTTTTGTTTCAGCCAGTTCAAATTGTCCTTGAGATATAGTCAGTGTTTTCTATATGATGTTAGAAATTTCAATAGCATTGCCCTCATTCTTGGACTTGATTTCAGGCTGCTGGCGTCCTCCCTTTTATTTGTATGGTACACTTTGCTCATCTCAGACTTGTGTGGCAGTATCCTGTGCACATGAAACTCATCTTTTCTCAGTTCACTATATGTTTACTTCTTAACTGTGAACTGAAGTTTTGTGATTTTTGTGGGGTTTTGTCCATTTCAAAGAAATTAGGCATACTCAACTAAAAGTCAGATTTGTTATTAATTTTTTTCTTTTGTCCTTTAACCTCCATTTCTTAGGCAGATGATGTTGAGGGCAAAATAAGACAAATCATTCCACCTGGATTTTGCACAAACACAAGTGATTTTCTTTCTTTGTTGGAGAAAGAAGTTGATTTCAAGCCATTTGGAACCTTACTTCATACATACTCTGTTCTCAGTCCAACAGGAGGAGAAAACTTTACCTTTCAGATATACAAGGTAGAGTTAAATCTCAGTATTTCTTGGGTCAAAGTATTCCATTTGCCTGAAATCTGTATGCTGTTTTGTTGTGTTCTTTTCACTGATTTATTCTAACTTGAGGAAATAAGCTTTTGTTAGCTTTAAAAACAAGGCTCTATTTTATGTGTATGTCTATATACACATTTTAATCTGAGACTTCTAAGCATTTTCCCACAGGATAGTTTTGTGTTTTGCAGACTTTTGCTTACTCTGTGATGAGTTTCACCTGACTTTTCCTGGCTTTTTCCCTAGGCTGACATGACATGTAGAGGCTTTCGAGAATATCATGAAAGGCTTCAGACCTTTTTGATGTGGTTCATTGAAACTGCTAGCTTTATTGACGTGGATGATGAAAGATGGCACTACTTTCTAGTGTAAGTACAGTTCTAAAGCAACAGTAGACCTTATTACCTCCACAAAGCCAGCATTTTAATTGTGGCAGCCCAATTATTGGGACACTATAATGATATTTTTCCCAGGAAAGAAAAACTATTGTTTATGAGGCTTGAGTTTTCCTTCATTATGCTTTGGGAGACCTTGAGAATAGAGCTGAATTAAATGCTGTTGTCCGTTAGGGCCCTGAATGTAGGCTTAAACAGTAAAATGAGCTTTGCCTGTGTTTTCTTTTACTTGCCACCTATTCATCTTTATAATAGGCAAGTGCACTGAAGTGATGTAAAGAGGTCTGATTTATCCAAGTTGCTGCACACCAATTAAGTGAATTGTACATTCAGAACATAGCAGGTGTACCCATTGGGCCCTCACAGAGTAGCTTGCTGACACTGAAAATTCAGTCAGAGAATGGAAAAGAAAATGGACACTGCATGGGAGCGCGACTGTAATTGACCTGCTTGGCTTTCTGTTTTATCTGCAGATTTGAGAAGTATAATAAGGATGGAGCTACGCTCTTTGCGACCGTAGGCTACATGACAGTCTATAATTACTATGTGTACCCAGACAAAACCCGGCCACGTGTAAGGTAATTGGCAGCACAACACGTGCCTTGTCTTTTATTTCAGAAGAAGGAACTGCTGAAGTTTCCAATACTTGTTATAATAGTGTTGATTTGTTTAAAAAAATCACCATTATTCATTGGGTATGTACTGATTTATTTCATTGTTCCCTTTGAAACACTGTGGAGGATTAAACCAGTTTTGAGTATCTCTATAATTTTTGGGTTTCTTGAAGGTGGATTGAAGAAAAAGTCACACAGACTTTAAAATGTTCATAACACTTGTGATTTGCAATTTTTAAATTGGTCATGTGATATTTTAATCTTAAAATAATTTCTTTACTGTAGTCAGATGCTGATACTGACTCCATTTCAAGGTCAAGGCCATGGTGCTCAACTTCTTGAAACAGTTCATAGATATTACATTGCATCTCCTTCTGTTCTTGATATTACAGGTATGCAAAATTTAATTTGTTATTGGAAGAGCCATTCTAAAAAAATCTCTTCTTCACTGATTGATTTTGTTTTTGTCAGGAATAACTATTCTGTTTTTAATTACAGAATTAATTAAATTAATTTTGGGGTCTTTTTGGAACTGTCTAAAAATGGCTTAGAGTTACATTTTAAATCATAAGCCTTTGTGAGATTGGATTGCATCTCTTAAGTATGAGGTGCTTATTAATTGAACAAATTAATGAAGATAATGAACTGAATATAGGGAAATTCTGGTTAGGCATAAATACAGGGCAAGTGTGATACGACTTATTTTTTCAGTTTATTTGGCAACATTTGCATTGCTCAGAGGCCATACTCTAATTTTCATGTAGGGGCAGAATATTCTAAACCTTACTGAGGAAAAGAAAACCCGAGTAATTCCTAAATAGAAAACATATTTCTTAAAGCTTGTTTTTTATATTCCTAAAATGCATGCCTTCACAATAGTAATTTATAAGGTAAAACGTCGGCCTATTTGTTTTGGAAACATCTTTTAGTATGAATTAGCCATAGAAGTAGTATTATGAATAGGATGCTTAGGAGAAGGAAAGAGACTCTACTCTTTAAATGGAGAAGTCATCATCATTAGATGGAATTATAAATGATAGTATGTAAACATGTGAACTACCAAAGAAGAAAGTGGCTAAAGGAGCAGTTATTGTTATTACTTTCTTCCCCTTGAATAATACTTTTAAATTCATTACTTATAAAGTTGTTGATTAAACTGAAAGTCATTTTTTTCCATGAAAAATAGTATGCCAGATATTCACATCCAAATTGTTTATTAAATTTTGTAATTCTGAAAGTTTGAATACATGTTTGTTTTTAAAAATTGCAGTACTTAACATGCACTAAAGTATTAGCTGCTTAAAATGCTATTAGAATTTTTATCAATTTGTTTACAGATACCAAAAAACAAAGTACTAGACGTGGAACTAACAAAAATATGAACAGGCTAATAGTCAGATTATTAGTTTCTTCCTTTTTTCATGTAATACAGTAGTTTTACCTGCCCAGGGTAAATAAAATAAAAGTTACTCCAAAACAGATTTTTAATTGATCCTATAGATGAATAACCTGGAGAGAAAGCATGGTATTTTTAAAAAAGAGTTCCATGTTTATAGAGTTGAATTATTTTTTTACCTGATTTTCATGTTAAATGGTTTGAAAACTTGGGAGATAAAGAAGTAATTACTAAAGTTTTTTATGTCAAAAGTTACAAATTACTTAAGTGACACCTTCACTAGCTAAGTTACTTGCAAAATTATAGAAACCTAATATAAGATAACACTTCTTTTTAACTAAGCTTAAAATTGTTTAGCTTCTGTTTACTTATAGAAATTGGACTTGATGCTACATGAAGAGACTTTTTGGTGATTTGAATCTGGAGACTTAGAGTTCACATAAGTAGTCTTTGTCTTTTCTAGTGGGTCATGTCCCAGCAGGGGTTGTTTCTGTGAAGCCTCTTAACTACTTTCTTCTGTCTACTCCAACCAATAAAGTCCTTGATGCTTAGTACCAATTAGCAGATAAAGAATTTTATTTCTTAAATCTCAGTGAAGAGTCAACGGTAATGGTAACCTTTATTCATCGCAAACTGAAGTCTAAAGAGAAAAGGCTAAACATACTAAAGTACTTCTGAATTTGAAAACTGGGTATTGGCCTTTCTTTTCAATGTTAACATTTCTCAGCATTATATTACTAAGTATGCTTATCAGCTATTCTTATTAAGATATTTCCCCTAGATTTCCATATCCAATCCTTTAAAAAGAAAAATACTCTTTGGTCACTTTAGCTGCCTATATTTTATATATATATTTAACTCTGGATCATGAGCAGGCTCTGGATCTCCCTTTGCAATACAGGATATTCTTTATATTGAGGTAGCATTTTGCTTACTTGACATACAGCCAGATACGAAAATAATGAAAAGTTCCCATTCATGGCCTGTGTTATAGGATAGATAGGTGTTTGTGGTACAGTTGCCACCTATTTTCCTTTGTTAGAACTTAATTTTAAAGTAAAATACTGGAAGATAATTCTTTTTTTTTTTTTTTTTTTT